GGGTAGACCAAAGCGAAAAATGGGTGTAGACCGTGTTGTAATTAACTATGCTTTTGAAATTCATGGACAGACTCTTCCTCCCTTTTAATAAAGGTGCTGCAGGCACTTGGGGAATACTTTCGTACTAGGATTTGTGCACACTATTTCTCTGATATCCTGTTTACCAGTTTTTACTCTCACAAACAGCTTCGCAGATTATCCTTCAATTGCTTACATACCTCCTTGAGATATATTGAGAAGGCTTTGACTTCCTCAATTATGGACTCTACGGACCCTCAAGGTCAGAACAGAACTCTGTTAACCTCCCCCTCTTGCTTATTTGTGCACTACAGCCCCTCATGGACCTCATCCTACCACACAATGGGAATGTCCAGCACACTATGTAACCAATCACAAGCATCAGGATGGCAGACCATTATGTCGGTATTGTGAGTGCTGGAATCCGGCCCCTTTTCCTGATGGCACTCTACCCGTACCTCCTACCGCAGTTAGTAGGACTACCTCCTTGTCTACCACCTTGAGAAACAATGACCGTACACCTTTACCAGCACTGGTACAGCAACCCTCACTACCATCAAACATCTCCGGATTGTATAGCCACTATAATCTCCCACCTGCACCTGAAACTATTCGTACTGGAAGCTCTATTCATGATCATCCTCCTGTGCCCTCTTTATTTAATCCCTTCTCTGAACAAAAATGCATTCTAACACCATATAGAAAATATCGTTTCCTTTATCGACTACAAGTTCCACACAGTATTCACATCGCTTTCCCAGCCTGCAAGATAATTCCGTACGGGTAGAACAGGCACAACTAACTTTCAGAAAGTGGGCCAAGCCTCCTGCCCAACATCCATCCCATATCTCTGATTGAGCCATCCTATCCCATAATCCCCATGCCCTCTTACAGTCTCGCAGCAGTTTCTATTCCGTTCCTGGAAAACCCAAACTCTCAGCCTTAGAGGTCGAACCTACCCCAATCGCACAATGGCAATTGCAAATTGTTTGTGGGCCTGGACATGATCACCACAATCTGGAATCCCAAAGACCCAGAATCAGATTTAAGGCTTTTGAATTAATTGGGGAACAGATATGGCGTCCGACTCCTAGTGTACTAGATGAAGAGGTACGATGCCTAGTATCTGGTACAAGTCTTGAATGGGCGAACTTCCTACGCTTTCGGGTATTAGAGGAAACCACCCCCTGGGAACACTAGTATCAACTGTATTCCAAAGAGCACTTTAGAAGAAAGCCACTCATGTGTGATTGTTATATCACGCATGGTTGGAACAAGCAGTCCAAAACTCCAATCTGGCTTCCACGTGAGGTCCGCAACCCAGGAACCTTATATCCTGTAGTCTACAACTGGTTCCCCTCTTTTAAGGACAAAGTAACCATTGTCTTTGAATTTATTAATAAAGATCAGAGGAGCGGGCATGTAACTATTGCAGAGCAGTTTCGGAATCTTAGTGTTGAACCATCTGATCATGAATCCTCTGAAATTCTCACTTCTGATCCCCCTTCTTCCATACCTCTATCTAACCTATATTCCTCCTCATCAATGAATTCTTCACCTCCGCTTTGTACAACCTCCGTTGAACATATTGCAGGACCAGTAACATATTCTCCTTCACCCCCGGGGTCCACCTCCAACTCTGAGTTTCTATCCATCAAAGATATGCTTGCAGTCTCCAGCTGCCCTCCACCGTGTTCCTCAGCCATATTACCCTCTATTAGTTTACGTTCTCGGAAGTCACTGGCAGATCTATCATCCTCACCCCTTTCGACTATACCTGATACCCCTCCAAGGCCTTCTCCTCTCACAATCTCTTCTCCAATTAATCCAATTTCTACCCTTCCTCTTTGCACTGTCTCTAAGGTTTGAAATCCTTTCTATGTCTTTATCTTTCAAAAGCCGTCTATCTTGAGATTCATGCTAAATTATAAACAGCGTAATCGCATCCAGGTCACCAGTTCTTCACCCCCCCAAGTTCTACCCCCTTCTCAATTGGAAGTCCCTACTTTACACGTCTTGCAGCCAAGAGAAGGCCGCGAGCCGGCTGCCAAACGAATCCGCTCTGGTGGAGAATTAAATGAGAAATGATTCTCCTTTTTACTTTTCTCCTTCTCTTTCTTTTTTAACTTCTTCCTAGCCTATGGGTATCAACCCTCGGAGGTCATTCTTCATTACTCATTCGGTCTTGGCCTAATATTTTTTTTCTCTAGTTTGCGGAATATGGATTCTGCCACCAATTGGTTCCTTTTTCTCATCCTCTCTCCCTGCCCCCTTAATTTTTATCCTATGATAAATTGGTTCATGAACTCCCTTATTACTTACGTACTTTCAATTATTATGTGATCTTTTTTTAAAAATATATTTTGGAAGTTTTGGTTTTCAAGATCTGTGGGTCGTGGCAGTTGTGGTTACTATTGGCCGCCATACCCTTCTTTAATCCTGAGCAATATGGCCAGGCTCAGAGAGATATTTGCATATATTTAGAGCACAAATAAAACTGTTTCATATAAAATTAAAATTTATACAATGAATTTCTGGCTCTACTCATGTAGGTAAAAATAAATGAAAGAGTTTGGAAGTGGAAAGTATATCCCTACTTGTAAATACTTTCAATTACAACACATGAGTCAATTGCAACTGAGTTACGTACTCTACATGGTGGGATGAACTGCTTCTGGTCTATTTAGCCATAGTAGGAATTTGTTAGGTTGGTGGGAGGTATTCAGACTAGAAGTCACTTTACTAACAAACATGATTTTAAAATCTCCCCACTCCAAGTAAATCAAATATCGAGCAATTTTAGCAATAGAGAACTGGTGTCCTCTCTTCCTGTCTAGAGTCAGAAAAATTATTTTTATTTTTTTCAAATATTCTTGGTTGAGTAGAAAAGGTTAATAGAAATACTTTTGGTCCAGTATTTGTGCTTGGTGTGTTGCTATGTTCGCTTACTTTTGCTAACATACAATATCTTGCAAGCTCCGAAAGTTGTGGAGCCAAGTGTGTCGTGCCCAAGCACAGTATGGTACACCATGTCATATCGCGATCCCAGTCGACCGGGTCGATCGCATCACAATACAGGTCAAGAGTTCCAACCGGGGCACATCGATCTAAACGAAAAAAAGGGGGAGGGGAAAGAGAAAGGAGAAAAGAAAAGAAAAGAAAAAACGGAACCCCCCAAGTCAAACCCCCGCTGTAGATACTCTACCAGTGTTATACGTATAGCATGGTATATGCAATCTCCAGAACAGCCAGACATCACTCACCCTACTAACAACCTGGTAATAGATTCATAAGCAGACCCACCTCTCCCGCCTTTCCGCTGCCTTACCCCCCGCCCGCCCCCTTCATAAGTAACATGCTATAATACCACATGCTCTACCGCTCCAACAATCATACCCCTTCTTGATCCCGCCGCTCTCCATCTCGTGATGCATACCTGTACATTTACGTGTGTTGCCGACAGGGCGTGACACGGTTAATTTGTCTACAGGTGAGGTTATTCTCCCTGCATCGGGTGTCGTTGGATGATGGTATCCGGGTTCAGTCAACGATCTTAATGTCTACCCACTAATTTACTTACCCGACCCGCATCCTCTACTATTTTCCCGGTAGGGAACTTATGCTTCCGCGATGATTATTGTGTTTGGGTGGTTTGGCCGCGAAATCCTCTTCAGAGGACCGGTCAAAGGAGGGGGTCATGGATAGATGTATGGGTTTGTTGTGGCGGAGTGCAGTGAGGTATCATACCGCACCCTAAGAAAGGTTTGCCTTAATCGGGATGGCTTTTGTTGAGGCATTCATTGGCGTAATCTCGAGATTTCTGGGAGGCCTGTGAGAGCTTTGTGAATACATTAGCAACGCTACTTGCCTGGAATTACGTATGTATAGAGTAGTATTGGTATTTCCCCCCTTCCATAGAAATTAATTGAAGGATAGCACATCGTTTGCCCCAAATCCCCCTTCCTCACGATCCTTTTGTTTTAACCAATGCATTAGAAAACAAAAGAGAGGGAGGCAGAGAAAAAACGGTTCACCATTGTCACAAAGTTGACCAAATCAGTGCCCAAACATTACCAACATCACCACCATCATGGCGGTGAGAAAATAAAGATTTCCTCTTCAATGTTAATCAAGAACAACCTTCCCATTTTCGTCCACAAGCCTTCTATCCTTGCCCCCATCCCCCATCCTCCCACCCCCAGTGTTTTCATTAAGCCCCGTTAACGGTGGTCCACAGCACTCATTCTGTATACCGGGGAATCGCACAGCCGCGGATCGGGTGCCCAAGCGTTGACAGGAAGGAGATTTATCTACTTGATGGTTGGGGGGGGGGTGAGGTGAATGGGTTGGAAAGGGCGAATATCTACCATTAAAGAGTATGCTCCCGCCATTGGCAGGTCTCTGTCCTGGCCGCCCCAAGGATTGACCACTCCTTCCTCTAGGGGCTGTGGCCTTCAGGCCCGGCCGGATTTGAGGGGAGATAGTTTCGCCCAGACTTGCCTGGGGGGTCCTGCAATTGCCGGGCGTCAAGAGATTTGCTGGAGGCCACATATAGGGCTTGGTCAGCCTGGTCGGCAGCGGGCTGCTGCACTTGGGAGATTAATGTTTGGCATTTACGCTGGTGGTAGAGTTCCTATGCAGTGTCAGCACGGGGCCTCTTATAGGGAATGGCAAATGTGAGTGGTGAGTACCTGTATTTGTGCTAGCTCCCTCACTTTCTCTCTCCATCCCTGCACCAACTCATGATTCTTCCTTACTTTATCCTCAACAAGCCCCATTCCACCGCTTTTGTTACGCGGCGCTGATATTTCACCATCAGCACCGCGAACAATCTTCTCGTTCTCCCCTCGAATCTCAGATTCCCGTGTTCATAAGGGTTTTGCAACATGGTCCTGAAAGCAAAGTCTAGACCATGGTCAATGCCTCACCTGAGAATGGGAAAGGGCTAACGCCGATATTTACTTGCCCACTGGATAGGTCTAGAGGGTGAGAACACGAGTGCGGATTTCTATTGTGGAACTGGGACTGAGTCCACTGAGAACACAAGTCTTGTAGTCGTTGCTCGGATTTAGAACCGCGATCACGGCGTCGTCAGGCTGGGAGAGTGCGGTGCTGTGGGCCGGATGGGTTCGCTGATCGTTCGGAGGAGGCTTGATAAGCCAGAGGGCAGTGACGCAGGGCAGGCGGTAAATGTGACTAGCAAAGGTGAGGAAGAGTGAACCAACCTCAGGGCTGTAGATGAATGAATGGCTCCAAGAGCAGGGCGGGTATGCTGAGCGATCCAGTATGTAATCGGGAAACCATTTCTACCCGGCTCACGGGAGGGATATTCTCTATGGACTATGGAGACCTGGGTGCTGTTTGTGGAGCTTACTGACATCCCGGAGAATAGGTCCAGTGGCCTAGGTTGCTATATTAGGGGATTTAGCTGCAGTCCAGCTGCTGGAGCGGTATTATGTGTTTGTCCAAGTGGATGAAGAGGATGAATACCTGCAGGTGGTCAAAACAGCGCAGCCATCCGTTTGAGCACGGCACCAGAGGTGGCTGCAGCGGGGGACACAGCCATCCATTCTAACGTAGTATTAGGGCCAAAGAAGGGGAGGGTTGTGAGAACGATGAGGATGATGATAATCGGGTACAATGTGAGGAAGAAAATAGATGCTATTGCAGAGGTGGGGAACTACCCCCGCCGAGCGTGTGGAGCACTGCAGGAGCTTGACGACGACGCATGCCCGTACTTGCAATGGAGTGGCGCATCCAATCATCAGTTTCACTGGTTATGAAAAGTCTTACATTGGGTCCTAGGATTAGGCCGAGTCCGTAGCCCACGCTGTCAACCCGGCGGAGAGTAAAGGAGAAAACAAAGAAAAAGGGGGCAAAAAAAAAACATCAGAGCATAGCATATAGTATCGTACCATGGTGTGTTGAGGGATATTCTGGTGCTCCATCTTCCGCTACTCCATCTGCGGGCAGCCAAAGCCGAGTGTTACAACGGTGGCTAGTTTAGCCGAAGAAGGCATTCCCACTCACATCCCACCGTACCGTGTCGGAGTATTCCATACTAAGATAGAATTCCATCCATACCCTAGTGGAGAATATATGCTTATTCTGCTTGCACCAGCGAGGATCCAGCACTTTGGTTACTGTCGAGTCATCCCATCTGGGGTTCCCAGTACAGGTCTGGGTGTTGGGCGAAAGCAGTGAAGGGGGTGTCGAACAACAAATCGTGGGGCCCCATTCTGCGATTGGCGATGTGTACCATATTAGAGGCCAGACTGCTGTCAAGTGGCTGCCGCCACAGCAATGTCAGTGCTAGAGCTTTGCGGTTACGGTTGCAGAAACCTTGTAGCCGGAGTACCGGTTCACTTGTACTCGTACATCCGACGTGAAAAGTACCAGAGTACCAAACTTTAAGGTGCGAAGGCTCCTAGATAGCAACCTTTATTTTTATTTCTCCCTCGTATACAATAAGCTGGAAATTTTATAAAATAGAGAGAGGGATTAAAGATACAAATATTCGGCATCTAATTACGCAAGTACAATATCATAGCTACCCGCCTTAACATGTCCTAGTACAATACTGAGGCAGAGCCTTAATTGTCCCCGTAGCCTGTCTTAGACAATGTCATGATCTTGGCGACACAATATCTTTTCCACTGCAGCACTAATCAAGGAGAAAGCACGTGATGCGCATTACATGAAATCAGTATTTTAGGGGGTGGTGGTTGCTTTTCCGTTGTATTTCTTCCGACACCTTCATTTTCCGCAGCTCCCGCCTACACCCATACTACCTTACGAACTTTACTCGAGCAAAGACCCCTGAATATCACAGTCAACATGTCTTCCGCCCTCCGTCACACCTTCCATCGTGGGTATCTCTATTTGTCTCTTCTATCTTATCTTTATTTGATAATTGGTTGACAAACGTGTTTCATCAAGAGCTCGCCAAGGAGTTTGCAACGCCGGCTACAACCATCTTTTGTTCTACCTTGATTTTTCTCAACGTCCGAGAGATCAACAGGAAGTTGGAACATACGAACAGGAAGTTGGAACATACGAACAGGGAGTTGGGTGATACAAACAGGAAGCTGGGTGATACAAACAGGAAGTTGGGTGATACAAACAGGAAGTTGGGTGATACAAACAGGAAGTTGGGTGATACGAAGGCCACCATTAACAGAAGGCTTGATGACACCAACCGCGAGATCAATATTGTCCGAGATGACCTCACCAAGAAAATCCAATTTTCTCAAACGTCACATCCGCTACCCCTCTGATCCCCATAGATGACCTGAAGAGCTGCGATGGTAGCATTGGCTAGGTTCGAGGAGTGTCTGAGGAGTGATGGCGAAGATTGCTGTTAGGGTAAAGTGATACACTGATTGTTATCTGTTCCAATTACTGTAATTATGCTAATTTAAGTAGCATGAACTCGAGGGTGGGTGGGCATGGGGTTTCTTTTGTTATTAGACGAATCACAATATGGATTCTTATGATATGTTACATCTCCTGCCTCCGACTCATGTGACAATGGTAGACGAACAGCGAAAGAAGGGTACCGTATGAATCCTTTAAACCCACCACCGCCCATCGGCCCGGATCCTCCTCATAACTCCAACCTAGATTTCTTACCGGATAAAGCCTGACGCTCCTCCAATTTTGAAATTCCAGCTTGACCATAAGGAGTCTGACCCCCACTGTCCCCACCTTCTGGCGCCTCACCATCCTAGCTTCTGGAAGCCGTAGCTGACTTCCCCTGGTGCGCCCTCTTCACAGCAGTGAACTTCATCCGAATAGCGCAAAAAATCATCAAGAGCAAGTCGCACTGCAGCCTCTCCCTGTCTAGTACCAGTTCCCCACTATGCTCCACAAGCTGCCTCAGTGCCTGCAGGAGTATTTGCACCTGTACGTGCTCAAGGAGTTCAGGGGAAAGTACCCTACTGCCCCCGTAAGTGGCGGCAGTCGAATATGCACGTCATCATCTGGATATACCGTTCTATAGGACAGAGCTGCAGGACGACTAGGTTTCCTGCGGCGACATGGATAATGAGGTTGAGGAGAGCTGGCTACAGGAACAGGCTCTCAGGAGCCTTACACATTTTTACAATGCTAAGAGGTACCCGAAGAGTATGGGCGCTGACCCAGAAATGATGGACGTGGAGGGGGACTTCTTTAGGAGGGAGATTGGCAAGATGGATGTTGGGGAGTGGGATGCTTCAGGGTTGGAGGGGTAGGGGGGATAGAGCGCCATTCTTCCTGTTTTTCTTTTCTAATTTGGCGTCCGATAAGACAACCTTTTTTTCCCCTCCTTTTTCCTTCCTTCCATCATTGTTCAGTTATTCTAGGGTTCTGTCATGGGAGCAGACGTGAAGAGTCTGTCAAGTTGCTTATGTGTTAGCGCTGTGTCTGCTCTCCCCTCTTGCCTCTCCAATCTACGGCTGACAATCAAATAGCGAAAGAAGACGACAACGAAGATGGCGATTCCTCCGACGTAGAGGAGGACCCGTTCCTCCAATCTCGCTCCCTCCAATACCCCACTACGGCAAACCATATCCCTGCCTCTCTGCATGCCCACCATACTACTTCAATGGCTGAGACCGGCGATGTGTACATCTGGGATCTATCGCCACGCTATAAGTCTCTCGAGACCTTGGACACCGCCCTCCCCGCGAGTATAGACAACCCATGGCAACGCTCGGGATGCACAGATATATGGAAGGCTACGCTCTTGATTTGTCTTCCAGTCCCTGAAATGCCATGGGGCAGAGAGCTACGGGGGATAACTCCGGCAAGATGATCATCTCCACAAGAAAAGAAGGCATTACTTGCGCTGGGATGGTAGCCCGCTGAAGGGGCATACAGGTAGTTTCGGACAGCTTTAGTGGTCTCCCAATGAGCGCCACGTCTTTGCCTCCGCATCTTTGGGCGGAACAGTCAAGATCACCGACTCCTGCGCAAAGACAAATCAGCACCAATTGTCAGTCAATGTCTCATCTTCAGACATCAATGTTGCATCCTGGTGTCGGGCAGTAACCCATCTCCTTGCCACCGGCTCCGGCGACGGAGTCTGGGCATCCGGGATCTCGGAACTTTCCTAATGCCCTCAAGGGTGAACATGTATCTGCTACTGCGAGCTCTACCTTCCACTAGCAACCAATCACCAATTCTGGGTTTTGGCCTACTGAGGATGGTATTGTTGCTGTCGTGTCTACCGGCTCGACGATTACACTTTGGGACGTGAGTGTTGAGTTGGGCGATAATGAGAGCAAGGATACTGGTGGCATGGAGGATATTCTACCCCAATTGTTGTTTGTCCACTAGCACAAGGATATTAGGGAGGTGCATTGGCAGAAGCAAGCGCCACGGATGGTTATTGGGGCTGGGGATGAAGGTTTAGGTACTTTGTCCTTCCATATATATCCTTGCTTGGTGTGATTGTGCGTTAGCACTGGTTATCTCTCCTCGGCCAGTGTTTTCGAGACTATCAGCCTCTACGCTTATCGTCGGGGAGGTTCTAGAATAAATGGCTATGGCGGGAAGCATCTTGTTTGTCTTGTGAACTGTATTGTACAGTGATGAAGCCTTTCGGTGTCTTTAGAAAATTAATGTCACCATTGTTATCATAGCAGATTTAGACCAGCATCTCTTACCCCTAGGCTTCTTGTAGAAGCGGTGAAAATTGCCTTTTATTGTACTGATTCCATACTACTCTCGCGTGATGTGATGGGGTAGGAACGTATTTCTCGGGAGAGCATCATGGATCATCACTCATTTTGCATTCCGGTGTGATGCGAAGTCTATTGGTGATGAAAACAAGTTGGGTAGCAGGAGAAATTGTAGTCCTGACCCACTCAAACTTTAGTGAAAGGACATGCTCCGATGAAGCGATGCCTTCATCTCGCAGCCTAAAAAACGTCCGGAGAGTGAAGGAAGGGCGGTGGACAAGTCGAAATTTCCCGTACATTCATTGCTCATATCTATACACAAGCTGGGGCAATACACCCCACCATTATAAAGGGGGAAAAAGCAAGCACTGTATAGACTTTTGTATGCGGAAAAACGGCAAATACCACAAGATAATCAACCTTGCATCTCCATCTCCACGTCCTGTCCTCCATTCCAATCCTTGCCCCAACAACCGATCCAATTTTAAACCTCCCCAGCCCACTCTTGAACAGTGTCCTTTCCGATCGTCGGTCGTTCTGGCCGCTATAGTCGGCTTAACACATCGGTTGGTAGTATTAAGGAGTGCCGCTCGAAGGATCAACCCAGCCTTGAATCCTTCCGTTATCTTTCCGAATACCTTCAACAGCCTTCTCTGGTGCTGGTAGTTGGTGTGGTGGGAGACGTAGCGATTTCTTTTGCCGATGCCTCGCCTTTTTCGCTCCTGCTTCCAGTCGTCCGCCTTCGTCCGGAGTCTCTCACATCTTGAGCTCGTTTTCTCATTCTTCCCTTTCTTCTCCTTGTGCGACCATGTTCTCATCCTCCTGATAGGATTTGACTTCCTTCTCTCCCTAGCAACTTGCAATAGTGATTGGGCACAGACAACGGGGCCAGACATTCTCTTTAACGACCTTCCTCGGGCTTCGCAGCTAGCAGAGTACTCCAGGGGGTGGTTTTCGTACAAGAGTGTGTACTACCGGGTACAACCTCCTTGAGCGAAGCAATCTTAACCTCAGAAATAATACTTACGAGCAGCTTATGATATCCTCCTATGCCTCGTACATGCCCTCCTCGTCCAATATCAGCGCACATCTGTGGCTCGCAGCCCAGAATGATCACATCTACGCGCCGCAGGCCCCTGACGTTTCCACCAGGGCAGACCTCAACGGGCATGCGGGTGAAGCTCTGGAAGGCACGCCGCACGCGGCAACTGGACTCGGGACACTTGACGCATGCGGTCAACCTCGAGGAGAGGTAGGTGGGGGTTTTGCTCTATTTTACTTTTTATTATTTTTACGATGCCTTTGTTTCTGGTCCGCTTTGGAGTCTTTATTTTCTTGGTTCGTTGGTCGGTGGGTACGTTTGGTGCGGGAGGTGAGCCCTATCGATATCGGAGGCCCGTTGGTCACCGACGGTCAAGTTATCCTACCATATCATATCATACCGGCGGGAGTGGAGAGATATAAAAAAATATTTGGGGCTACAGTTAGGGTTAGGGATTCTCTCCCCAATGTCACAATCACAACCATACTGTACAAGTTATTCACTGTATGAGAAGGGGAACAAAAGAGGGGTAAAGTGTGGATTACAGATCGATCACTGTCCATTCCTAGGCTTTCCTTGTTATACTGGTCCTTCTCGGAACCCTGGGGAGGGGAGAAGAGAATAAATGAACTCATGTTGTGCCACAGAAACTGGGATACCGACTCTGCCATTGGGCGTGTGGTGGATATCATACTATGCCCAGGTTTGGTGATGCCAACTACGAGACAAGTTGTGCGCACCAGATATCATTCGTTATTCTATATTTCCAGGCTTTGGCTAACGGTGCCGTGAACAGGCATTATAGCGGCACAGGAAGCACTGAGGGGGTCACATGATGCATATCATAAGTTTGCGGTGTGGAGAGGATTCACGAACTGTATCGCATTAGATCTCATTATCTCCAGGGTCCGACCCCCCGATCCGTAATTTGAACCTGATTGGATTGGGCCCCTGAGATCGGTAAGGGTGGTACAAGGTTGCGCCCGACGAGTGTCTGGCTTGCAGTATCACTACTGACCTCCTTTCTTTGCTCCTACAGCAAAGCTGTCTCCCGGTCTCTCTCTCTCTCTCCCTCGTACAGTACCCTGCTAGTATCACGACTGCTGACGACCATCACAACAAATTCTTATCGCCGCTCAAAAGTCAGTTCCCCACCACTTTTACTCGCAAACACAGGATATGATAACCACCGTGCCCAAATACGCTACCGAAAATCGCACCGAAAATGCCACCACAAACTCCAACTCAAGCCCTCTCTGATTGGCTCATACGATATGGAAACGCATAGAAGCATACCTCCTCCGTCTGCCAATCCGATCACACGTCTTGATACCTTCCACTTCGGTAATCCACATGGTGGAGGTATCCGGTTCCGGCATGCTGGATTAGCTCGCGCAGGATTAGGAAGATGGATTTGAGCCGGTCAGACTTTCTCCATCTTCCATTTTGTCTGTTGCGCGGGGAGGGGGTGATAGTGCATGGATGAATACTCACCAGCTCGTGCACGTGGGACGTTTAGTTGCGCTTTTGAAAGCTCTTGCATAGGGCCATTACTTGAGAGGTTCGGGAGGGAGGGGGAACTTTGAAGTCGTTGTTGCTGGTGCTCCGTCATAGGTTTTGCTCAATATCGGCGGAGAGGATGGGTGGAAGCAGGTAGTCGGCTGGCGGGCGGCTGATTGGGCACGGTTGGGCCAGCTCTCGGGATGTCCCCTGGTGGATTGTATGTTGGTATCGGGGTTTACCTGCTTGGCGCTTATGGCTCGGCTACTGAGGCACGGTAGGTTTTCGCTATTGCAGCACCCAAGGGATGCGAATGTGGGGAGCGGGTGTTGGCTAACCAGGGTTCGAGGGCCATGGTGCCTTGGTATTTACTCTCATGGCTAGTGAAGGGGTGAAGATTTTTCTGGAGAAGCCGACCTATAAGTATTCCACCTGCTCCATCTAGTTATGGGAGCAGGTTTCTAACCAGGTTTGTAGTATTGCTGGCTATAGTATACCTTCATGGATGGTTCTCATCTGGTTGGTGGCCATCTCAATTTTAGTTCCTGGAGCCAGCATTCTCGGCCACTTTTGCGGGTTGATAGTTGGTTATCTTTGTTAGTTACCCACCTCCTCTCCATTGCACGCACGCTGATAGCACTTTCAGATTCCTGTCACTACATCCGTCTCCTCCAGCCTTCAGAGACTGTGCGAGGTAAGATCTAGTCCACGCTGGACCTTGTGCTACAGCATGTAACCTTCTACATCTTCCTTGAGAACAGGATTGAGATGAACCAAATAGAGCTCCTACCGACATCTGTTGGCTCAAGAACCCAATAAACACTCCGTGCAGCAACCCCTACGTCTATCGGAAGCAGCTCTGGTTGTGCTGCCGCAGGCCCTGGCAGAGTGCTTGGCTCGTAGGTGGGAGAGCAAGCGATCATGGTCAGAACAGGGTAACGTGATTTATGGGGATGCGGCTCACGACAGGGATGCGGCTCACCCTTGGCAACCAGTGGAAAATCATATATATCTTTCATTATCACAATGAATAATTGTGAGACCACCACGAAATTTTATTAATAGGTACATTGAAATATAGAGAATTAGAATATGTAAATTCTATTATACCATAATAAACCATTCCTCTGGTGCATGGTTTTTAAGATTGGTTCTCTCAAACAAAAGTGCAATAGTATTTCTCAAAAGAAAAATTGTAACGAATATAAGACGTTTCTTCTTAAGTGAATTAAGGGATTGAATTAGCCTTATAAGCTCATGGACAATGGTGGTCACCATTTATATAACCAGTTTCCAATATTATTGTGTCTGGTAAAAACTAATAGAAAGTAAGCAAATTATATACAAATTTGCTTTATTTGATAAGTAGATAACTATTCACCATAATAACTTACAACTCTAACATTTTGCAGTCTGCTTTACAATAACTGATTATACAAGAATACTAATTTTACAGTTACTTAGAAAAGTTTTCTATATTCTATTCTACAGTTATTATTAGTTGCAATAAAGTGGGTTAATATTATTAATTCTTAGAACTATAATGAAATAATTCATACTAATAATTCAAACAACTTAAAAACATCTTAAATGACTTACGCAAACCAAGAGACTAGGATATGATCCTTAGAGTCTGGTTAAATATTTGTATCCTGTTAGATTATAGTACAATTAAAATACCTTAATTACAACAGATAACTTCAATTAAAATTAATAGACTTTTCCTATTTTGATCAAATATTTATATAAATAGTCTATCATACTTACCAAATCCATAAAAAACCACTAGTATGACTCCAGACCACATGGAGGATTTCTTTTCTTTATAATAACCTAATTGTATAATGGTTTATTAACCACTTATTGCCCCTTCAATAATGAGAGTACCATATATGTAAAACTTCTTGGGTTAACCTCAAAATTTCTGTACTTACTCAAAGAGGCACTATAAAGTAGGTTATGAAATATCAAAGGTATAGATTATTAGAGCAACATGTCATCCTGTTACCAAATATGTTGATTTTGTATGTAAATGGCTTACTTCTTATTCCGATAATATTACACTTAACAATACTGGGAATTGGTAATAAATAAAAAGGAAAATGATTCTCTACAAGCCCATAAGGACTATTCAATCTTATAATTCATCTATGAAGGTACTCCTTACTGGTTTTTACATCCTACTCTCCTACAAAATTTGAGCAGCCTTGCTTGAAAGAAACAATCTTAAAAACCCTGTACAAGAGTAATGGTTCCTAATTATGAAAAAGAATTTTCATATTCCTATTCTCAATATTTCAAAGCACCTACTGATAAAGCTTCATGGTAGCCACATCACTATTTATAGAGATAATCAATAATATGTTTGATTTTCAACTGGTTGCCATGGGTGAGCCATATCCCTGTCATGAGCCGCATCCCCATAAATCACGTTAAGGTCAGAAGACAAGTGAAACTGCTTTCCATGCAAATGGACATACTCTTATGATGTTCCTTGTCAGCGGGTTTCCTGGGGAAAGCTTGTATCATATTTGAGTTTTGCAATACCCTGATTCGCTGTGGCTCAACAATTAGGAAGCAGAATTCTCAATCAAACAAAAACCTAAAAGTTATTTCCCCTGAAATGTCCAACATGAACAATATATAATAACACTTAAGAAATAACAAAACTCAAGATGTGGCAGGAAGAATCCAAAGTGCTGCATGCGACTATAACATCTACCTGAGCAGGTAGTCTGTTAACCTTCCTTTGTTGGAGACTCAGTCAGTTCTGAAGAGCTGGTCAACCAGGATAAATTTTTACCTTAATCCATTTCCATGTGAGTGGCCAACCATTTTACCTAGAGCCTCCTCATGCACGTTGGATTTATTAGGTTATGGTATTCCCTTCTGAGGATTAGGTTCTTGCCTATCATTCTCTATCTGCATCAATCTCTATTATAGTAGGTGAGGCTTTAGGGGCTTTTAATAGCTAGGAAGCTGAAGGACTGGGATACAGGAGATGTGTCACTTCAATTTGTTTAAGTTACTTATTGCGTTGGGCAGGCTCACAACACTGGCATGACCATTTCTTACCCTGAGCTGGCTTAATACAATATACAATCGCGGAACCAGATGAACACTGTCCCACAAAGTCTTCTGCTTTTACGTACTTAGTGCATTACTTTTTGTTATGTCGTTTATCAGTCTCGGGTACAGGAATGTCTTGTGGAGCAATTGCATACTCATACATCCCTATCTACTTTCACATAGTAATATTAGCGGACATCTCCAGGTACTTCTTTCTGCAAGATGTATCTAGCTCCTTCTTCTTAATCTTTCCTGATGGTTTAGATGACCATTCTTCCCATTTCTCTTGTGGTTTCTAGGACTTCTCTTCTATTAGTTGTCCCAACCTCTTTGTATCTTCCAACAAATAACTTCTTTGGTATAGCAGATCTAGATAATCATTGAGAGCTGCTGGATGAGGTACTACAAACACCCATACCTTTCCAAGCTCTGGGATTATACTCGCTTGGACCTTTTCCTTAAACTGTTGTAGCTCTACATAGTTCAGCTGATACATAAGATTGATAATGCTGTCTAGGTAAGGACTACTTAGGTGGGGGCTTATCACTAAGTTATTCCCCTTGAGAAGGGAACCAGCCTGATCAATATAATTCATCAGCGAAAATAAATCCTACATCAGACACATGGGTGCCCTATCCAGATGCACAGTGTTTTTCTCCTGCATCCTGTCCGTCTTGTGCATCTGGTCTTGTGTTGCAACAGCCGGCCACATCCAGTCTCACATTGCTATGGCCAGCAGTGTCTGGTATGTCTGGGCCTTGGTCACCAAGTCTAGTTGTATCCTGTATATCCAAGTGCGTATCCTAAGAAGTGGTATGTCCAGATTGCATCATAAGTAAGCAAGGCTGCCTAGTTACCATCCTGAGATTCTGAGTCATAAACACAGCTGCCAGCTGCTCTCCCTTCACCACTGCCCTACCGCCCCCCCCCCTACCAGCTCCTTCCTTACCAGCATCCTGCATACTACCTCCCCCCTTACTGGCTCCTGCTACTAGTACCTCCCCTACAGTCTGGACTTTGTTGTTTACTTTGTCCGCTTTGCCAAGTCAGCCAAGTTGTACTAGTTAAGTGCTGCGTTCGACACGAGATTCCTCGGCCATCATTTGGGCGTGGCATCTCATACTCGGTGGTCTGATCCTGCCCGACGCTAGCTTTCTAAACGTACCTAGAACATCTACCTGGCATCTATATTGGTAGAGTTACAGCCTGTTATAAAGGTGGTCTTTACGCAGGTGGAGTGGTGACCTTGACGTCAGATTCCCTGAGTGTCCTTTGGGCGCAGCATCTGAGACTTGGCGGCCTGATGCTACTCGATGCCAGCTTTCCAACGGTACCCAGGAGGCCTACCCAGTGCCAATATTGAAGGTGTTACAGTTTGTTATGAAAGTGGGCTTTACCCTAGCGGAGTTTGGGCAGAGTGCAGATTTTGACACCAGATTCCCTGGGTGTCCTTGGGGCACAGCCTCCCATTCTTGGCAGCCTGATTGCACTCAATGCCAGCTTTGCGACGGTACCCAGGATGTCTACCTCGTATTAATATTGGTGGAGTTACCGCCTGTTATGAAAGTGGTCTTTACCTTAGCAGAGTGCTGAGCTTGACACTAGATTCCTGGAGTGTCCTTTGGGTGCAGTATCTGATACTTAGGGGCCTGATTCTACTTGATGCCAGCTTTCCAACGGTACCTAGGAGGTCTACCTGGCACCAATATTGATGGAGTTACTGATTGTTATGAAAGTGGTCTTTGCCTTAGCAGAGTTCTGACAGAGTACAGGCTTTGACACCAGATTTCCCAGGTGTCCTTGGGTGCAGTACTTCATTCTCAGTGGCCTGATTCTACATGACACCAGCCTTTCAACAGTACCTAGGACGTCTACCTGGTACAAGTATTGGTGGAGTTACCGCCTGTTATGAAAGTAGTGTTTTGTTACACATAGAAGGGTAATCGGTGCGGCACATGACTAAATGCATAAGGTCACATGTTCGGCTCCGGGCCCCGCCACAATTATCGTGACGATATTATATTATTGCATGGAATGATAAGGCATCTATGCAGCCCACTCTGAGGAGATCCGAGGCATGTGACCGAGGGGTTCTTGCTGGATAACATAGAAGGAGCTCTGCTTTATAAGATAAGACTTAGTTAGTACAGATTGGACGGTTAGTTATAGAGCTACGACCTCGGCAAGTCTTGGTGCTATTGCTCCTATAGAAATAGAAAGCAACGCACTCACCCTGTAAGGTTCATGTAGACCAGAGTGATCCGGAGACTGGTTCATGATGGGTTAATAACAACTCACTGGTCGAGTTAGTTATCTTCGTTATGTACTCTAAGCTATTCACCTAGAAGAGTAATTGATAAGTCCTTTGATGGAGCTGATCACTCCACTTGTAACCGGAGCTGGTACTCAGTTAGTTTTAGGTTGTGTTATGTTTTGTTTTAAGTATCGGTTGATACTTAGTTTGTTTTGTGTTTTGTTTTAAGTATCAGTTGATACTTGGTTATTTTGGTGCCTTGATTGAGTAAGAGCATGAGTGAGAATTCATGATCGTACTCAAGACATATGTACTTAAGAAGACTGCCATCTTCCACTCTGGAAACGGCAGAATTCAACAGACAGTATTTTAATATACTCGGTTGAACGGTTATCTTTATTCTCCTATTACACCACTGAAGCCTCCCTTAGCGAGCCTAGAGTTGACAGTCTCCGGTAGACGTCACCTCTCTCCTATTGTACCCGACAGCGTGGTT